ACACCTCTGCCATCATTTTTTTTTTAAAACCCATCCTAGAAGGGTATCTAGGAAAGGATCAAAAGGCTCTAGAGCACTTGAAAGTAATTATTAAATGGGTCCTATTTGCTTTGGGGGGATTTTAATTAGCCAAGAGCCAGGAGCTGGGAGGAGGATGCCTCCAGCATCCCCGCAGCAGCACGGGGGCTATCCCGGCCGTGTCCCCAGGGGGGGTCCCCGCTTGGCGAGATCCCCCTTAAAAAATACCCCCACGGGGCCGAAGGAGCGGGGGCGGGCGGCCAAGCCAAGAGCCCCGGGGTCGGTGCCAAGCGCCGGCTCCCTCCTCCCCGCCGGCCACGGTCAGATGATGTGCGAGGCGAGCCGGGAGGCTCCTAGTCTGGCAGGCAGCCTGTTTTGCTCCAGAGGCTCCAGTGCTGTCATCTTGGCGTTAACCCCTGATAACCTTGTCCCTTCCAGGACAGGACGGTGTTTTTAAGGTAAGCGGGGCGGGGGGGGGCAGTCGTGTCTCCAACGACGCTGGGAAGGAAAGGGTGCAATGCCCTGCGGTGCTCAAAGCAAATAAAAAAAATATTAAAAGGACGTATGCTCAAAAATAAACCAAGAATAAGTGACTTAAAAAAAGAAATTCCCAAGCAATTGTTTATCCCTGGGACAAATATACAATCCTAGTTCCACAGGAAGATGTCTCAATTTCAGATTATAATAGGATGCCAATTTGTAAATAAAGGCATTTCACAGGAGGTTATAAACTCTGTACGAGAGGGAGGTGGAAGGAGGGGGGAATGGGAAAACACAGGCAGGACTCTGCCGGAGAAACCGCGCGGGATCCTGTTTACATTGGGGGGGGGAGAGCGATGGGGAGCCGCTTCGAGGGGCGAATAGCTCCGGATTTGAACAAGGTGCTTCTTCCCTGGCAAGCAGATACCAGCGGGGATCAGAGGCATAGTGAAACATTCCCGGCCTGCCCGCGATTTCGGAATGAAATGTCACTCAGCCAAGCGGTCCCTTAAACCAGACGAGGTCCCACCGCTGGGAGAGCCAGGGCAGGGAGCGACGCTGATGCTTCTGCAGCCTCCGGAGGTCTTTTTGCATCTTTTTGGTGCAGAGGAGTCAGGAGGGAGAAACTGAGGCTGCGCTTGCTCCAGAAGAGCCTTACGGGTCTCCCAGCCTCAAGCCTTGCAGAGCCTTGGTCCAGCACCCACCAAGCACCATCACTCAACATCCACTGGCTCCAGGAGACGCTGGGGTGGTTCCAGAGTCAGGGCAAGTCAACAGGATTGGGCTGAAATCTGGGTAAACTCTCGGGTTCGGTATTTTATGAATAACCTCTATAAATAAAAAAACAGTGGAGGTGTTGAGGACACAGGCCAGCTCATCTTGCTTTCCTTCCATGATGGGTTTCTTGGAGAGCTTCGCTTTGCCAGCAGATCCAGCACCATTCATCTGTCCTGCAAGAGAGCCACCTTCTCGCCCACCATGGGCACCACAACCTTCCATCAGCCAAGAGCCACAAGCCCCATGCCACACATGGGCGAAGAGGGAGATGTCCAGGGCTGGGTGGAGAGCATCCCATGGAGACCCAGCACCAACACCATCAAGCACCATCAGCTCACTTCTACCCTCGGAGCAGAGCCCCTCCATGGGTCGTACGGGAATTCAGCTCCCACCGATCAGATGCCACCGGACCACGGGCCGGCCACCTCCAGGCTCTCCGAGCATGGCTTTGCTTGTTTGAAAGAAGAGTCATCACCAAACACATCTGCTGGGAACGACTCAGCTCAAAAGATAGGAAAAACACCCTCTGCCTCCTGTTTACGGAAATTTTTTTATCTCCAATGGGATATTTTTGCTTTCTTCTTTAACCATATCGAGGATACGAAGGATCTGGACTGGTAATACCTGAGCACAACTATCTCAGTGGGAGACACCATGAGCGAGGACTCCTGACCTACCCACAGAGTGACCACTAAAAAATAAAGATGTAAGAAAATAAATAAAGGCAAGAATATGGAAGCGGGAGCCAGCACCTCGGGGGAGCGAGGGGTGCATCAGCTGGAGAAGGGGATGGCTGGGGAAGAGACAGCAGAGGTGGGATGAGAAGAGGACACCAGCACGGCGTGAAGGACTACCCAATATTGCATTCCTGGGCCAGGAAGGAGAACAGAAAGCAGAGGGAGGGAAAGAGCGGCTCAGATCGGTTATCGCAAGGGGGAAACACTCCCCATACATCCCCCCGGCCACGCCGCTCCCCCTCCCACATCCTCCAGCGCCTCTGGTATCCATCAATGAAACTGCCTTCAGCCTCCAGAAGGAGATTGCGACCCCGGCGGTGGCCAGACCTGAGACTCCTCATCATCAAAGGATCCTCATGGAGAGCTGCAAGGGCGCTCACTTCCATGCCCTTTTTAATGCTCCTCTTGCCACCATCCTCTCAACCCCCCCCCCATGCGGTTTCCCTGTCAGAGCAGCTGTGAACCCCAGGTTGGCCCCATTCCCAAATTCTCAGCGCCGAGAGCTATCTGCCTCACTAAATCCTGCCCTTCCAGCTTTCGGACGTCAGGGCAGGTCTACTGACTTTGAACACCGCTACTACACCAGCATCCACTGCCCATCACTGGCGGCCAAAGCCTATAGGAACCCACCACCACCATCCACCCGTGATGTCTTCTTCCTCAGCCTCCTGCTCCAGCTTCCAAGTCTACCAAAATTAGGGGTTTTTTGCTTTTCCTAAGGCTGTCCTTTCATCAAGGAACCGCAAATCCAGCGTCTAACAGCCCTGGTCTGGAGGGGATGAGGGATGCTGGATTCTCCACCCGGCATCACCGATCCCCGCCTGCCCAAACTTAGGTAAGACCAAGCCGAAGCGCTCCCCGTGCGCCCTGCCAATAACTCATTAAAGTCCTCTTCAAATACACCCTTCTGCTAACTAAAATATGCAGGGGGGGTAGAAAAAAGGAGAAAGTGAGCTTTGGAGGATTGCTGCAAAGTGCGTTTATTTTCCTTTCTCGACTGGGTCTCTCCAGTTGGGAATTTTCAGCGCTGCACTTCTGCACGCGGAAGGGAGATGCCAGTAAATCAGAGCAAATTCAAAACAAATGCTCTTTCATGTGGAGGCATTCGGCTTTGTTTCAGGGCTTGGGTAGCTAACCGTATCCCTTCATGAGTCAACTCTCCTATCAGCTCCTCATTAAACTAAATGGCTACAATTACATTTGGGGAGGAAAAAAGAGCGGTTAATGATCGTAAAAGGTTCTGTTTCCAGGCTTTGGAGGGGGGAAACCTTTGATAAGGAAGACAAAAAAAAAAAAATCCAATCCAATGAAATAATAAAAATATAATAAAATAAGTTAAAAAAAAATGCATTTTCAGGAGGAAACGTGCTTTCTTTTGGGGAGGAGGCTCTATTAAGGAGCTGGGGCTCCCCTTCCAGCGGCCCTTCGGGAGGCACCGGGAACGAGCTATTTCCTGCAGCCCAAGCCAAGCCACCTCCCGCCTTCCCTTCGGGAGCAGAGCAGCCAGACGAGATGTTATCAATAGGCTGAACCTTACAGAAAGCCCCCTTTTAAAAGCGAGTACTTCCTCTGCTTATTTCATGTGGTATCCTGTGGAACTGAACTCTCTCCTCCCCTCCGCAACGGGTGTATTTCAGGAGGAAAAAGGAAAAAAAAAAAAGATCTAACAACATCCTTATTGTGTTGTTTTGCTTCTTGTCTTTTTTCTTTTAACAGTCTCTTTTTTTTCTTCCCTAAAGCTATAGGCTCCAATAGCAAAAAAATAAAGACAAACCCAACAGTCTTCTGCATTTAAAAAAAAAAAAAAAGGCAGCGACAAGTTTCTCTGTTCCCTCTCCCCCTCCGTTTGATTAATTCTCATTAGGGCCTTTGAACAAACAATATGCTCCCCTCTCAAATAACAGACAGGGTATATATTACACCCAAAGAAAAACAAACAAGGCTCACTTAAAGACATCCACACCGAACGCAATTCCTGGAGAGAGGCAGGGGCAGATGCATGCGCGCGTGCGGCCACCGCCGACCTATTTCTGAAATTCCAAGTTCCAGGGCGATGAATAAATCATAAATCACGGAGACATCCCCACAAAGGAAAGCACCTTCAAACATCAGCGAGTACATGCAGGTACATGGTTTCAGACACTCGAATCCTGGTAGAGACAGAGCCCAGCCACAGAGTTGGCTGGTCCGGGGTGGGAGATGAGGTGCTGGAGACGTCACACCTCGGAGAAGGTGTTGGGAGTTGGACTAGATGACCTTTAAAGGTCCCTTCCAACCCAAACCATTCTAGGATTCTATGAAAAGCCCAGGAGGGGTGGGGAAAACACCTTCTGAACCCCCATCCCATAACGGCACCTGGAGGCTGAAGGAGATGGCAAATGGGAAAACGAGGGGAAATCGTAGAATATCTCAGGTTGGAAGGGACTCGTAAGGATCATTGAGTCCAACTCCTTCTGCAACGTCTTCTGCAAAAAACGGGGTCACCTTTCCTCCCTGGGCACCACGAGCCTCACGCCTGAGATGTGGCATGCTGGTTTCCCTACCAGGAGCAAAGCTCAAGCACAGCTCTCGTCCCAGAGACAAGAGGTGCCACCACCAAGTCAAGGAGAGCTTGACGCCAAATCCTTCTGCAAGGCACAACCGCACCAGCTCCGATAATCCATGCATCCGAACGAACGGGTGGCCAACATCACTTCACCTTCCCCAACACGCCTCTTCCTGCCTCGCTCCAAAAATTAATGGAGCGTAAGGCTGGAATTCAAAGGAAATACGGGCTTTCGGGAATGGAGAACCTCGCCTGGGATTTCAACACATTCTCTGCATGAGAGGTACGCGGCGGCTACTGAAACGAAACCTAATTCCCCCTTCGAGCACACCTTTCTTAATGACTCGCAGCCCCAAAACTCCCCAGCATCACTTCGCCTTCCGTCAGGACCCTCGGTCAACGCAACCCACGGTCAAAATCAAGGGCAACAAGAGATGTCTTACCTGAAAGCCCCCCAGGGGCTAGACAATTAGTTCCCCCTGTTTCAGTGGAGGAAGGCACAGAGTCTGGACAATCTGCTGGAGCGGAGGAAAAGAAAAAAAAAAAAAAAAAAAATCAGCATATAGGCGGTTTTTCGCAGGCTCCCAGCATCGCCGCGAGCAGAACACACATTCCAAAGGGTTTAGCAGGAAGCGATTACTAATTGTCCGCGCAGAGACGGTAGTTCATCAAGAAGCATCCACCCTAACTCGTCGCCTCAATCAAGGCTGCGCGCTGCGCTTCATCACCAGCCAACGCTGATTATAGACCAGCAAAAATTACAGACTGGCTGCCACCTCTCTGGCCAAGTCACCGGATAATGAGATCAAGGTTGTCGTCGTTCTGATGTAAGCAAGCTCCCAAAAATGCTTAAATCGTGGCTTTATGCACCCAATTTAGTCAACGCCTGTAACTCACCGAAATGGGAACCGAAAGGGAAATGTCTCATCGCCACCCTTTTGCAGCGAACGGTCTATCTTTGTGTTCCCCCGCTCGATTTTTGTCACCGCCAACTGCTGGTGGATCTTACACCCCGCTGTCACCTCCTGGGACAGACGGGCATACCCCTCCATGCACCACCGAAGGGCAAGGGCAGGGTAAGATCGGTCGCCCCGTTAGAGGTTTCTCCTGATGCATGGAGGCATTCGAGCTCAGGGTTTGGACCGTTCCATCCCATGCCTGCTCCTCCAGGTGACAACAGCCGGGAACCAACACCGACGCCCTGGTCCTACAGGCAAACTCCAGGTTTTCGGTCACTACCACGGGGGAGACAAGCTCAAGGACGCTCCATGCCCGAGAAGATCCATGAAGTTCACGCAACCTTCTGGCCCTCAGCAGGTTCTCGGGGACTTTGGGTTTCATCAAATTTGAGCTCCCTAATGACATCATTTTGCTCACGGCTGTATCTCCAAGCAAGGCCCACCACCAGGAGAGCCGAGATAACTTTCTCCCTACTGATAAAAGTAGTTTTTCCAGATTTCATCCCTGAAATCCCAGTGAAAAAGAAATTCCTGTCTGCATAACCTCATTTTATCAGAGTAAAGTAGAAGCCCTAACAGGAATATACAGTTTAACAGGATATACTTAATCAAACCAAAAACAATAGGGGAGACAGGAAATGGACTTACTTGTGAAATACTGTATACGATACACTCTCTAAATGCCTTGTCCTGCTTTCTATGCTTTAAAGAAATATGCTTTTTCTTTTTTTAACCCTTTCTAATCCAGACAGAAGATTCCCCATGCCCTTTTCCCTGAGACGGCTTCAACTCCTTGGGCTACAGATGTTTTCTGAACGCAGGCTGGACCACCCTCCCCCACGCTGGGCTCCATCTGCCCCCAGTTACAGCTCCCTGATGGGATAAAGGACATAATTTGCCCTTTCCATGTTGTCTTACTCTAGGTATCGTATGTGACAAGGTCCTCCGTTAGCACACTGGACAGGATGGCAGGAGAGAATCCTATCCCAACCTAAAATGCATAACCCTAGCAATGGGGTGATGCTGGCGTTACGGCAGCGCTGCTCTGGTTTGACTCCGAATCTACGTGCCATTTGGCATTTCTGCACTGAGGCTGAAAACAAGGACAGATTCAGAGCCTCCCTCAACAGCTGGACCACTCCCTGATCCACACTATCCACCAAAGGAAAGCCCAAGTGGGCTTTCAAGACCTCTTTACAGCTGTCAGCTCTCTTCCCATGTCCCATCATCCAACAGCCAGTTCCCTTCATCCATTAATTACCTTCTGAAGTCTCTTTAGAGGACTCAGAGCTGATGCACCTTGACTCGAGACCAAGCGTGATGGTCAGGTGTGGGATAAGCCCAAAAGCGGGACCCTCCTGGGCTCTCTGCTCTACACGTGGCTGTTTTCATCCTTGCACTCTTCCCATCTCCCACAGATCTGCCTAGGGCTCTCGCTAGTAGGGGGTACTCGGGCTTGTTTTATTTTCAGCATCAGAGGGGTCGTAGGATCAGAGGTGCGATCAAGCCAACTGAAGGTGAACCTCCTCCCAAAACTGCCTTCCCACGATATAAAACCATCGCGGAGACATACAATTATTCCTGGTGGCCACCAGCCCAGCCTTGCAAGGCGCTGAATAGTTCCTGGAAGCTGCCAAACCTCCCGCTCCCCTGCAAGTCGATGCCACAGGAGGGCATTTGGCTCTGCAGCGATATCTCAGTGGGTTTCCTGCACTCTCATACTCCAGCCCCACCACGAGCAGCCACGAGCAGCAGTAGCACGATGGACACAGCCACTTGCAGTCCCTTGTCCCACTTAATGATGGGTCAAAACATCTGCCTGAATGATTTGGGGGCACCACTATCCATCTTGCTTCCAACACAGCCGCAAGTGGCAGCTCCTGCAGGGATATCGGGGATGCTGAGCTCCCACATGCCTCCAGGACTGCAGGGTGAGTCCGGCCCCGCGCTAGCCACCGTCACCCATCCCTGCAACCGTCCCATGTAAGGAAGAGGGAAAGTCCTCTCCTGGATGAACGAGCAAGCCAGCCTGGACTTACAGCCTTCCTGCAGGTAACCCAGCTGTCAAGGGCAGATCTTTCCGCTCTACGGCGAGTGCACAAATACCAGATCTATTCTATCAACACAGTGTCTGATGTGGCATTTCCCTGGCTGCAGCAGACCCCCAGCTCCCCGTCCATCCCTGCTTTCCCCCAGCCAGCAACACAGCCTGTCTCAGCCTCCATCACCTCCCAAAAAAAAAAATGTAATCCCCATCATAATGGTTTTAAACAACAAGAGGGGAGATTCAGACTAGACAGAAGGAAGAAATGTTTTACGCTGAGGGTGGTGAAGCACTGGCCCAGGTTGCCCAGAGAGGTGGTGGATGCCCCATCCCTGGAAACATTCCAGGTCAGGTTGGACGGGGCTCTGAGCGACCTGATCTAGTTGAAGATGTCCCTGCTCCTTGCAGGGGGGTTGGACTAGATGGCCTTTAGAGGTCCCTTCCAGCCCAAACCATTCTGTGATTCTATGATCACGGGCACTGTCTGTCTGTCCATACGAAGCACTTACAAGACGCAGCCCTAAATACTTAAGTATTTTTATTACCACTATCACGCTTGATGGAAAAGCAGAAGTTTCGGCTGGATGCACGTTCCCAGCTCCACTGGCAGATGCAGTTGCCATCCAGTTGCCCAAGTCTAAACTGGAGGGACCGTTCCCACCCAAGGTCCCAGGGGAGAAGATGGCTCATGTGCATCAGCCAGGTAAAAGGCTTCACACCCTCCCATCGTCATCTACTGTCCCTCTTCCATCTAGTCAGCCCATGGCCAGCAATCCTCGACATATGGCTGGGAAAATGCCGCAGGAGATGGCACCGATGCTGGGACGGGAAACCCTCGGTCCCTCCGCAGAGGAAACGCCGAGAAACCCTGAGCTTGCAAAACCCACCTGCAACAACAGACTTCCAGGCTCCGCTTGTGCCTGTCACGGCCCCGTTAGTCAGAGTTCAGCTGCCAAATGGATTTTTCTTTTAAAAAGGAAAAAAAAGGAGGACTTTTTGGTGAGTAACCCAGTTGTTTCTGCGTTTCCGATGGGCAGCGTTAATCACTTCCTATTGGCCGATAGGAATAACTTTTCCTTTCGAAATGGCACATTCATGTTCTGCGGCTTTTCTGTTTACACACATTTTGCTACCTTATGTCAACACTTGCTAATGAATAAATATATCACTCGGCTAACTGAAAATGAGGTCCTGGCAGAGGCAGATTGGATGTTTAAACCCTGCTAATAGATTTATCCCAACATCTTTACAGGAAACTGAAGGCAAGCTTTAACCCTTCTCTCCTGCAGCTCCGAACCCCTTTGCATCCCACGCCAGGATCATCGTTGGGTAGAAACAAAGGCAATAAAGGCAGAAATACAAGCTTTTGGGGGAGCATTGCCCCGCAGGGACGCAGTCAAAACGATGCCAATCTCACCCAAACCCGCAAAACTTTGCGACCCAGCAGACCCTCAGAGTCTATTACGGAACCACCCTTCCGCATCCCAGCACGTGCTCGGGATGTTGAGCCTACTCCCGATATCCCTCTTTCATTCATAAGCCTTTATCTCCTGTTTTTTCACGCGGAGGCAAAATATTTCATGCTTTGCAACCCGATTGTTTGTTAAACAGCTTTGCTTATTTCCACAAGGCATAAAAAGAGTTATTAGTGTTTCTTAGAGGGGAAAAACAACAGTCCAGCCTGCGAGGGGGCAGTGGGCAGGATGGGACCCCACAACGGTACCCTGTGTCCAAAGCAACCTCAAGTTTGGGGTTTCTTCTAGTCCTGAGAATCTGAAGAGCAGCGATTTTATAGAAACTGCTCTTGTGGCAAAAAACCCCCCCGAAACGACCCGGTATTGGTCTTCAGAAATATATCTATCTTTGCCTCCCTGCACCGCCGTGCCCCTCCTGCCTGCTGTGACCGAGGGGCACGACCACAGAGACCACCGTGCTCCAGCCAACACTCCAGATCCACTAATCCTTGGGGAGCCAGGAGCTGCCCCTCCCCGAGCTCCCCCCTCCGTTTCCGATTCTCCCCACCTCTCCTCCTTCTTCCAGCCCGATTTATCTCACACCCGGCGAGCGCGCTGCCAACCAAGAGTTTATGCAGACAACCGCAAAAGAGCTGGTGCCAGCCTCAAATGGGCTTCTCCCCTGGCACCCTGACATTCAATTACAAGCAACAGGCATGCAGAGCGGTGCTAAAAAAACAAAATAAAAATGGAAAACAAGTAACTTTTCCACCCCCTTTCCTAATTTTTCCAACCTGACAAGGTGGGATTAGGCTCCCTTAAAACACGGAAAGATTCCTAGCAACCCCGTTTGTCGAGTCTCATTGGGATTCCCAGCCATGGCGGAGATGCCAGCCCGAGCTGTGCTGGATCCCAACCTAAATCCCTACAAATTCACCCAGGGGCGCAGGAGCAGGCAGCACCGCTGCCGTTTACAACTGGAGCCCACGGTTCTCCTGGCTTCCCAAGTGACCTGAGCGGCAAAGGCCTGTGCCGCATTGCAATCCCTCCTAAAGTTTCCTGCCAGAGTTTTAAAATCCTACTTTGTGCAGAGGGTGTCTTAGATTAAATTCTATATGTTAATTCTTCCAGGGGTATCGGAAGATACAGAAGCACGCAAGCAGCCCAAAAGCAAAATGCATCGCGGCGCGACAAAGGCAGGAGACATTTCCCCTGAGAAAGGGGCTGTTTTCCCTTTTTTATCTGCAGTCTGCATTGAAAAAGTCCACTTACCAGTTGGTTTGAGAAAATCCATTGGATATCTGGAGTAGGGTGGAGGGGGAGACTCTGGAATTAGAAAAGTACAGAGAAAATAAAGGCAGAGCCATGAGAAAGGAAAAAAAAAAAAAAAAGAGAAAGAAAAAAGATAGGAACTTATGATAACAGTGGCATTCTTTTAGCAAAACTGTTTGTCTTAGCTCTGGGGGTTGGAGGCAGGGCAGCGAGGCGGTGATTGCCTTGATATTTTTAGGTCAGATAAACAAAAGGGGCCGTCTGGCGCCAGTCTCCCTGCTATCTGCCGCTCGGGCTGTGTGATCGGGGCCTCCTTGGCTCGGCGGAGCCGCGGCAGCGCAGTTAGGGCACAGTGAGTATTCAGGCACTTTCACTCTGAACACCAGTTTGGTGGAAATTCCCTAGAATCAAGGATAACATCTTAGATACAAGCACTATCACTGTGCTCATTATTAACAGTAGCTCTTCTCCACTTCTAAGGCTTAAGACTACAAGTTTCAGACTATAAGTTCCTCAGATAGTAGTTTTAATTCTGTAATTCACTGTCCTTTATACTCAGAGTTGACTCTAACACTGACCAGCACTCCTATGTGCCATAACGATGATTTTTTCCTGGCAGAAGTCTAAGCAGCTTTAAGTGTGCATACTAAATATCCCAGAGTAAAGCAATTTGGAGAATTCAGTTGCCAGATTCTTCTTCAGCTCTTTCACTGCTTTAAGAACCTGGTTTGTCAGAGTTGGCTTTTTTTTTTGTTTGTTTCTAAAGCCTCTCTTATTTTTAAAAAAGGTCTATTTATAAGTTAGTGGCAAATACAATCTGCTTTACTTTTTAAAATCTTCACCATTCACCACACTTTCCAAAAAGTAACCTGCATTTTCTGTATCCTAACCCCGTCAACTTGAATATCTATTCTCTCTTTAATAGATCATCACTACCTCAGACTATGAATGGTATAAAAAGTTGTAACAAGTTGGTTTTCCTTTAGCAATACTAAATGTTACGTCAACAGTTGTTTTTCACCTTACAGTGTGTTTAGTGTTGTGCTCATTTATCTTCTGTAAAAGGAAATATATTGGAGGAGGAAGGAAAGGGGATGAGGATAATTAAAGTTTTATGATTGTAGATACAGAGCACTATTACTGTCTTGCCGAAAAGGCAGTAAGATTTAAAGTACCTGAAATACAACAACAATTTAAAGAACAATTTTCGTGAAGTGAAAAAAATATATATATTATTCTAGGAGTGGGGACATTATTTCACCATATCAGGAGCCAAAGAGCAAATGGATAACAACATACAGCTTTCTCAGATCATCACTGATGCCTTCTGAAACAGAGAATGTTCAGCAAGATTCATTAAAGAGTGATAATACACAACTCTGTATAATCATATTCAGGTCCAGATATCTTCAGAACTAGATACTGAATGTTCCTGCTTAAAAAAATATTCTGTGAAGCTGCTATGCCAGCCTCCACGCCAATGCTGTCCAACTAGGGGTTCATAGGGTACTAATCAGCTGGTATTTGGAGGTACCCATGAAACAGCTGACAGTCAAAAGTATTAAAAAGCCTTTTCAATATTCTATGCCAAAGAAACAGTTTTAAAAAAAAAAAATACAGCTATACTAACATCAAAGAAATGCAGTATGTAGCTACATGTAGCCAAATATTGATGAAACTGAGTACTACAACATTGCTGACCACAGGCCTGCTCTAAAAGGGAACAGTCTGCTCTCCTAAATACATACTGCTCAGGAGACAAGCATAACTGTTGATTTCCCTATGTGTGATCAAGGATAGGCTGCCAACACCTTGACTTTTTTGTTTGTTTGTTTGAAGTCAAAGGCAGCTTCCAGAAGCTTCATACAATAAAGGAAGGACTACAGGATTGTTAGACCTCTTCTAAAGTAAAGAATGAAGGAACAGGTCTAACGAGAAAAAAAAAAAAAAAAATAAAAATTTTAAAAAACCAAAACACCAACCCTAAGATTTGGACGTCGGAATCGGTTTAAGCATCTGTCACGAAAGAGAAGAACAAGCGCATCCAGAGTGTTGTATCCCTTTTTAAAGCCCAGGTCGTCCTGATGCGGGGTTTGGGGTTTGTTTTTTTTTTCCTCCTTCTTCCCAAAGGTTTTAATCCACACACACACACACACGGAGT